CTAAAATGTTTGGTTTAACCTAACACATGTGCACTTAAAACTTAAATGTGTTTTAAGGAAAGTGAAATATTTAAAATATAATAACAAAGGTTAATATGGTAAAAATATAGGAATGTTTCACAGAATAGAAACACAAAATCACATGTCTTAGTATCAAATGAGATGGTTGTCAGGCTGTCTATTTCATCCCTCTCAGCAGGAACATAGTAGCAAAAATAATGAGTGTGTGCATTAAAACAAGCAGTCATGTATGAACTTGAGCACGTAATAAATACATTGAACAGAAACAAGGAATTTAGGCATTTGTGTTGAAGTTGGTGAGCAAACATTATTTTCAAAAGGAAGTTCTCAGTTGCTGACAGTGTTCACAACTAGTTGCTCAGCAGTGTTAACTTAAGTATCCAATAAACAACTAATGCTTATGCATTTATGACCAATTTTTTTTCTTAAAGTTAGTGCTGAGATTTGTTTGGTACAGTGTCCTTCTCTATAAAAAAATTTAACACAATCTTTGGAATTTGTCTCATGTTTGCTTGACTATTCTTTTCTGCCTTAATTCTCTCTTATGGTCAAATAGCCTTGTTATACTGTATATACTTATATATATATGTATGTAATAGCCTTGTTACACAAATAGTTCTGATTAGGATCACCACCGAAAACTTACTTTTGAGTAATTGAATGGATGGGGACTGGAATGCCTCATTAGGCAATCACTTTTCTCAGTTTTCTGTACAGACACACGTATTACACAAGGGGTGAGGTCACCCTGCTGTATGTCTCCTTTTTAATTCCCCTGAATAGGGCATAAATGGCTGTACATTTCCTTTTTTCCTTTGATGCTGCTTTTCTGTGTAGTAACAGTAGAAGCTCTGTTATTGTTGAGTCGAGACAGGTCTGGAATTAAGTACTATATTTTATTGCTCTGCAGGCCAGACCCAACAGTAGAAATTGCCTTCATTCGCCGGAGATCCTCCTCCAGTTCAAGCAGTGGGCCTCAGAGCCCCATCTCCTTGCAGCCAGCGCTAAATGGGAATGGTCAGCTGCTGAGGCCAACAGGCCTGAGCCTTCTGTCTCCCCCTGCCACCTTGGTTCCAAAGATGTCCTCTACCCTCAATACTGGAAGTGAGACCCTGCCTTCAGTCAAACTAAGTCAAGTAAGACTGGGATGATATCCATATCCTATCTAAGATTATAGATGAGCAATGGGAAAGTGAGACTTCATGGGCCCCAAGTGTACAGGGCCATATGTGCTGTTAGTTACTGTCTTGTATGAACCAGGCGAAAGGCATTGGTCTGTATAACGAAAGACTACTGTTGGTTCAAATCAGTGAGTCATGGACAGCATGTAACAGCTCCTCTCGGCTTGGGGTTTATGAAACCTCATTCTCCCAACACTACTGTATGGAGCTCCAAAGTGTTTCTTTCAGCCAATATTATAGTGTTATACTTCAGAATAAGATATAGGCATATGCTGTGTTTGGAAGACAGATTTTTTTGTGTTTGCATGTTGCAGATCCGAGTGGTCCCTGTGAGAACTGAGCAGCCTTCTGTCCCCTCCTCTGAGAGTGCCAGCGCTCCTGACCCCAGTGCTGGTACTGTATCACCTCACAAATCCACTGCTTCACTCTGAGACACCTGCCTCCGCAGTCTGTATGGAAACTGTTCAAAGGAAGTGTCACCTCTCCTGCCTTTGTATGAGATAGCTGAGAAATCTCCCACAAAAAACATGGAAGTATAAATCACAATAGGTTGTCCTTTAAGAAATTTTATATTTTCGTTTAATCTGATTAGACAAGGATATGAGCGCAAGGCTAAAAGATAATCCAGACAAATTGTGTTATTGCTTTATTGTACTACAGTCAAATTCTGACTTTTCACTTCAGGGATTAAAACGTCTACCCCATGAGACGCTATAATTACCAACTGTATGACGGCATTTTTAATTCCACGGGCATTGCAAATGGAAGAGAAATCTGAAAGCAAACTGAACGCAAAAAATTAAAAGCTTCAAGAAGTCTCTACCTAACTTCTACACTATAACAAAATGATGTTTTTTGCTATACCACATGCAAGGCCATATTGCCAGATATAGCTAGGAAAAGAAAGGAAAAAACTTCAGCAATGTAGAAAATAATCACAGCCATTTGTCCTTGTACACAAACTCTTGTGTGTGTTACATGTTTGTGTGTATCATCCTTTCTTCAGCTATCTGTCCATCATGACTTGGAGGCCACTCTCTGCTGTGCACAGCCAATATGAAAACAAGAAATGAAACAAAAAATATATTTTTGGATTATTTTTAAATGGTTTATTTGCCTCAGTGGTAACCTGAGTGAGAATGATGATTCAAGACTTCTAATCATGTGTTCAGCATAGGAAACTGGCCATGCTGTGAACCCTTATTATGTGAGCTGACATGTTTGGGTCACATACTGTAAGTTACAGGGAGCACATACTCAACATTCTCAGGTCAAATTGTTGCCATGCCAACAGCCGGCAGTAATGAATGGATTATAGCTGTGGGTTTGTTTCTTGAAACAGGTGAAGTGCCTGAAGAGGCCATGTTGCCTTTCCATACACCAGGCAAGCAAAAGAAAAAAGGCAAGGAAATTCATGGGTGCAGTTCAGAGTAATTTTATGTGAATGGAATTGATAACAATGAGTAGATTAAGATATTCTGTCCCACTGGGATTTTGCAATTTTTGTATTTTCTGTGAGGTAAAAATGTGACTTTTGCAGTAAGATTTATGAAATTATGCAAACCAATTCTCTGACTTGTTTTTAATTTAAAATGGCAGTTACCAAAATCTATCAAAAGTAACATTTATTTTACCAGTACAACCATGGTAGTGATAGACTAGTCAGCTGCCAAACTGCTAACGTCATCATTGTTCGATAACAAAATTGTGAACAGAGCATGTGTGTCAATCAGCTACGACTGAGGGAGACACCTCCATGTGAGACACAATCAACAGAAATAACAATATTAATATATATTTTTTTCAAGTATTGTGTGGCTTAGAACCTCTGTGTGGGCCTCTGGCTTCTTTTGCTGTACCTAGCTGATAACAAATGTGAATCCACTGTGGATTTTCAGTTATATTCCAGTGCACAGGTAAATATGAAACACAAATTTCCCCTGAGTGTTGTGTGAAACATTTGGATATCGTTTGCATGGTGGACTGCTCTTTGGCACTGACATTGAACAACAATTAGGCCATGTTCATGACAAAAATGACAGATAGGAATGCCAGCCAATTACCTGTTGAGAAAGAAGCAGATAATAGGAAATATTTTCTATTGGCAGGTGACTCTAAAATGTCACTGATAAATGTCACAGGCGGTATTTTTTTAAGGCCACACTCCAGCAAAATATTGTCTGATTGCCAATTTCTGATTTTTATGGTGATTTTGGAATTACTTGTCATTGCAATATGTTGTCAATAATTTCTGATTTTGCTGAGTTTTCTGCAGTCTCTGAACTGTGTAACCCTGGAGGGACTAAATATTACAGAAATCATGATCTAAAATGTATGAGTTGGGGCAGGCTTGAGTATGGTGAGATACAGCACAGTAAGATGAAATATAGCAACCTGTTACTCAGGAAGTCTTATTTAGTCAGTTTTTAGCAAAAGGTTTTTTATGTATCCTTATCTAGACAGGAATGAATGTTCAAGAGTCATTACCAGCAACATGGTCTGATCAGAAAAGATCCTCAGCTGCTGTGCAGTCTCTCCCCATTGTCTTTCTTTTCTTAGCCTTTCCTTTCTTGTCCCGAGTCTTGCTGATTTTACCCATGGCAGTGTTCAGGCTGTAGCTGAAAGTCTGCCTAAGCCTTGTTTGGAGAGTCTTGAGTGGCTTTGTTTTGACTACTTCAGGTCTTTGTTGTGGATTTTTCAATTTGGGATTAGTAGACAGGTGATAGGAGCATTATCGCATGAGGTGGTCATTCTGGAAGAGACAGCATGGTCTTTTCAGCAGAACTTCTGTTTTAAAAAAAATGTCATATTGGGCTTTCCTAGCAGTATGAGCAAGGATAAAAATGAAGTCATGATTGCATTTCCAGGTAAGAGCCAATGAAAAGGCATGTTATTGTTGTTTAACATAAGGTTGAAAATCATGACAATTTGAAGAGAATAACAACAGTTTGGCTCTTGTTAAATAGTAAAATAAGCATGATATGTAGACATGCATGCTCATGTAAAGGAAAGCAAATTAGCGGAAAGGTTCTGAAGGTGGGCATTGATGACATTCAGAAGGCTGGCAACGACCATATAATGACAACATGTCTTTTTCCTCTGCTGTATGTGTGGGTGGGGTTGCCATAGAAACCAGGAACTCTTGTCAAATTACCATAATAAAAAGGTGCCTCTCAGTCAATTTAATTGGTTTTTAACACCCTTTAGGTAGTGGATTTATGAAATGTGGAATGCATGCGTTGTGGAGCCTTAGGACATGTTCATCTTATATCCGTTGTAGAACAGGCCTGTATGCGTGATGAGGGAGCACTGTAGTGCATTTCAAAAGGACAGCCTTAGGTCAGCTACAGTTACAGTCCAGTGTTTTATCTAGGTCACGAAAACCTTCGCTGGTAACTAATGTTACTGACCCTGTAAGCAAATTAACTTGTAAAGCTCCTCCCCCCTCCCCTGCACTCCAAGTAACTATCTATTACCAAATGGCTGAAGCTAAGTGGGGCTGGAATTGTTGCAACTGTATGAGATATTCTTTCCATTAGTACATTGAACACTAGGAGCAGAAACATCCAACGCATATTTCATTTGTAATAATACAATTATTATAATAATAATAACATACTGCAAAACAAGGATTTGTAGTGGTATATTTTGTTTAACATTATTAAACAACGTTGGCATTTAGCAGGTGCTCCTATCGAGAGTGACTTACACAGGTTACAACTTTTACATGTTATCCATAGCTGGATGTTTTCTGAGGTAATTCTGGGTCAGGTACCTGGCCCAAGGGTAGAACAGCAGTGCCCCTGTGGGGAATCGAACCAAAAGCCTTTTGGTTACAAGCCCTGCTCATTACCACTATGCTACACTGCCACCCCATTTATTATATAATATGACCCTGATAGTTCTTCAATTGAAAACATCATATGTTTTGCTTGTAATGTGTATGTTTGGGCCATGGCCCAAGTAACAGGTGCAAATCCATGGCATATGGCGTTGTGCAAGATGGCAAAAAACATGCATGTAATCAAGGATATATGCAATTATCTTCTACCAAGCCTGTTTTGGATTCGTGCTAATGTCATCCACCTGTTTTTTTCATGTAAGTGCCCAAAATGCTACTGACAATGCCAAGATGATTGATCGTTTATCACCTTGTTGGATGCAGGAGGGCTGATTATTCAGTAGTGATGCTCTGCTTCCTGCATGCCATTCGTATGTCTTCTGCTGCCTGTTTCTGCACTGGTCAAAGCCTGCAAAAATAAGCTAAATCTCAGCCAGTATGGCATGTGTTCAGCATTTATTACGCTTTTTTTGTTATTGTTTTGTTGGTGGTTGTAGGATTATAATACACTATTGGATTTATTGAAATTGTGGTATTAGCTGCATTTTACCTTCAGTGATCCACCTGGACTTAAAATCAGATCAGCTTGACAGACAGCTACTCTCAGGTATGTTTATGTCTGTCACTTTCAGGAGGCACTGATGCATGGTAAGCGGAGAGTATGACATTAGTGTGACACAAGAAGACAGAGCTGTATTTGTGAATGTTTGAAGTACACTCAGGTACTGTGACCGCTTGTGTTATTGATCAAAACTGTGGAAATCTCGATGCTCTGTGTTATCCAAGAACATTTGTTCTTGCCTTTACCAAAGCTGTCTTGACCTCAGAATTCAGAATTCAGACAGAGGAAAAGAAGTTTGATTAAGCACATAGTGCAAAGAGAGGATTTTTTCTTGTGAATAATAGTGTTTGAGCTGGGACCTATCTGTTTCTGACCAGTTGGTTCTATTTTTCCCAGGGAATCTCTCTGATAGTCCAAAGGTGTGGTGGAGATGTAGAGTACATAATAGTGCGAGAATGAAATGAAGTGGAGTGCAGTGGAGCTCTGGAGTTCCCTGGGGAGAAATGCTAGACATTCCAGCACAGTGTGTCTCCACCCTACTTCAGTACATTAACCCCTGAGGGATAGCCACAGGAAACTGTCATTTGACTTGCCAGACTCCATTTCAAGCAGGAGACATATTTGTGTCACACAGAAGTGCACAAACTAGTCAAACAGACTTATGTTTTTAATACCATTTGTTTACACATGCCCCCTACATCATCTCAAAGATACATCATTAATGTACTGAGTGGATTGTTTCTTTTGTTGAGATCAGGATCTGAGTTAGGTTTGATCACCTTGTCACTGCTGCAACCTCTGTGAAACATACATGATGATCCATGATGATATCCATTCCCTTGTTTTGACCGTATTAAGTGCGTGCTCCTATTCATTGTAACATAATTGTATTCTGTACTTCCCTTAACTCTTTAAAATAGCTTTTTCTCACACTTTTGGTGGACCCTCAGGATGATAAAATGAATCACTCACTAACCACCGTACTTTGTTAGGAGGTGAGGGATGACACTGTGGGTGACCTTGGCCTGGAATGCTTACAGAAATAAGCGGAGGAGCTGCGTTGCTGTGCCGCGTGAGTGTGAGCACCTTGTGGCTCGATGCCTGAGCTGCAGGGCATGTTGGGCTCTCTCATGGCTTTTGTTCAGAAGGCCCCCTGTTCTCTTCTGCTCCCCTGCCTCCGGGAGGCCCTACACCAGCCTGTGCATCTGAGGGGGCGAGGACTACTCATGCTCAGACTCAAAGATTTTTTTTGTACAGGCACGATAAAGAATTAAACCACTAGTCTTAGCTCTGTGTGTGAGTGCGCTTTTGTGTGCATGCTTACGTGTGTGTGTGGAGAGAGAAAGTCATCCTCACCAGGAGGAGGAGAGTAGGATGTAATGTTCTGTGCCAGCCAGTGGGTGGATGCTTCTTCATGTGTACCAGTTTAGCCCAGCAACACTGTAGCCCCTGCAGAAGCAATATGATCAACCTCATCGCTGTTTCCTGTCATAGAGACACAACCATTTTTAAGAGAAATATCGCTGACCCTGGCTTTTCTGCTCTTGATGCAGTGGACCAAGCAGGGGTGGTGTTGATTTTTTTTCTTTTAAATAGTAAAATGACGTTCCTTAGAGGTTTCAGCTGAAACATTTTTTCCTCATGAAAAGGGTTGAAAATCACATAGGTCAACAGACCATCCTTTTGTTAGTTTCATATAGTTAACCTAAAGGTCATTTCTTAAGATTCCGTTTTCGTTTGGTGTATACTATTCTTACTGATTTTGACAATCATGGAAGGTAAATAAAAACTGAGAGGAGACATAAAACACAGATATTTACACATCAAGCAATTCAGTGTCTGTAGACATTGCCATAAACTTTACAGGCTTATCACTGTGATTTTTAAAGTGTTTTTACCTGGGAGTATTGTATTTAGCAAATGAAATGCAGTGCCCCACAAATTCCATTCACCAAAATTTAGAAATAATCATATGCAAGTGAGTGTTCATTTCAAATGATTCTGTAACGGCAATTCCTTATTTGCTTATTGTACTTGTGTTAAACCAAATTGCATACTTACAAATGGTACTACAATGCACCTAGACTGGTCAGCAAAATATTTATAGATATTTCATCATGATTACTGTTTATTATTGACCTTCACACAGTTGCAAGGACATTTGTTGTAGTTTTAACAGAACAAGGATTTTGTCTGCAACCTAGAATTTTTGTTGCTGGCAAATATGGCTTTAAAAAACATTTATGTAATACGTGGCTATTAGAAGGCTCAGCATATCAGAGGCAAAGAGGTTAAATGAGAATAGTCCTTGATAATTGTCGTGAGAATCTCAGGGCTGTTGTTCAAACCCAGTCGTGTCTCTTAAAAAAGGTCTAAAATATCTTGAATAGACCCAGAGAAAGCAGTCTTTTATATCTTGGTCAATTAGCACATTTAATCTATTTCACTCCTAATTTCTGAGTAACTCGTAATAACACAGCACTTAAAAATTAAAGTGAACTCTTTTTTATAATTAGACTTAGAACCCAAGGAGAGTAATTGCAATTGTTTGTGCTACAGTTAGGCCTGAGGAAAGGTTCTGGTGTTCCATCACCCATCTGAGAGCTATTGTTTTGTGAGGGGTGGTTTGTATATTTGTCTAAAGGTAGAAAGTGGCAGCAGTATGCAAAGGCACATATTCACTCTGAGTTCACTTGTCCTTAACGTAGAATCACGGATTTAAACACCTGTTGCTTTTCAGCGTTATACAATATCACACAATATCACAAGCCTGCTTGATGAATTTCATCAATGACATTAGAGAAGGATGTTGTGTGGGAAAAATAACACTTCCTTCTCCTCTGTCGTTTTGCTAACTGACCCATGTGTGTGTATGCATATATATATATATATATATATATATATGTATATATGTATATATGTATATACAGATACATGTATATATATATATGTATATATATGTAGATTATAGATATATATATATATACACATATATAAATCTTTTTAAAAGAATAAGAAACACATAAAATGTGTTCAGCACTGAGAGATAAGCAGGAAACACGCCGTGGTTAGCTTTAATCTGGGCTTGAGTGTAGTGCGGATTCTGTGCTGCAGAAGTCATTGCGCTCTTACAAAGAGCTGAGCTGGAGACAAGGGACAGATGGCACATTGGCGAGTTGCTGGGTGAAGGAAGTGAGGGAGGCAGGGAGGCGGCTGCCAGACTGCTCATTTGGAAGGTGTTGAACATCCTGCCTGTCTGTGAAATAACAACGGTGAACAGCATGCTGACACCAGAGGAATTCCGTGTCGCCCAAACAGATCCGAATGACGCTCTCACCTTTATTTATATATTTATTTATGTATTTATTTATTTATTTTCTTTTTAAATGGGTGGTTGTGTGCCTAGATGACACTGTTACCATTTGTTTCATGGAAATGAAGTTCATTTGTTCCTTTCAGTGCCCACTCTTGAAGTGTTGCTTGTCGTGTCAGAGTAGTAGGAAATTGCTGGTGACAGCAAAGATGGTGCACGGGGAGGTATTTTAAAGCATTTTTTTCATGAAAAGCAAACTCATATTCAGACTGCTGTCTTGCTTCCCAATCTGTGCCTTGCAGTCTCTAAAAACTGTAATTGTTAAAAGATACCTCCACATGCACCTCTTTTTTCATTAATTTAATTTGCATTTTAGTATAACAAGTAACAGCAGTTCTGTAAGTATGCCCTGGCAGAATAATTTTCAGAGGGAATCTGACTGTTGACTGAAAGCTCACTGCAGACCATTTCGTTGGCTGCCAGCAGTGTAAACTGGAAGTGCTCTGCTCTTGCATTTTTGCATTCTTCATTGGCACAGCAAAGATTTTCTCCTCACACTCCCATCAAGCAGGTTACCTACCATCTTGTTACCTTAGTCAGTCAGTTCAAAAGTTGGAATGCTAAGACCCTTTGTGGAACAAACCTATTCAATACATTCACACAAAACCACTGTAAAGGGCAGTTTTCTGTTCAGCAGATGTCTATCTATTGACGTTTTGCTTTTGCTTTCAGTCATTTCTTAGTTGTGGTTCTGCCCTTAGGTTGAGATTGAAAATGTTTCACAAAAGGCTTCTTTCTTCAACAGATCCTGTTTCTGCCAGTCAGACAGCAAACAGTTCGTCCACACAGAGGAAAGTTTCCCTCAGCTCCAGCAGCCGTCTAAAGCTGGAAAAGTTGGAGCAGGTCAGTCCCCGTTATCTCAAAGTTTAGAAATGATTGCTGTTGCGCAAGCGCCACCTATGCTTAACCTCCATGGGTCAATCTAAACAAAACAAATCTCTGCCAATTATGGTTGGGTTAAGTGAAGGTTGCCCATCTAGCTGTGGATAACACTTAGCGACTCTGCAAGCTTTCAGCAGACGCATCACTCGATAAACTGGTATGATTGGGTGACTGCGGGGCAGAGGCTTGATCGAATGATTTCCCGTTGCTGG